AGGTCCAGACTGGTCCTGATCCAACACACCAGGTCCAGACTGGTCCTGATCCAACACACCAGGTATAGACTGGTCCTGATCCAATACACCTGGTCCAGACTGGTCCTGATCCAACACACCTGGTCAAGAATGGTCCTGATCCAACACACCAGGTCCAGACTGGTCCTGATCCAACACACCTGGTCCAGACTGATCCTGATCCAACACACCTGGTCCAGATCCAGGTCCAACACACCTGGTCTAGACTGGTCCTGATCCAACACACCTGGTCCAGACTGGTCCTGATCCAACACGCCTGGTCCAGACTGGTCCTGATCTAACACACCAGGTCCAGACTGGTCCTGAGCCAGACCTGAGATGAATTGATCCAAACTCATCCAGACCTGTTCCAGACCTGTTCCTGAGTGATCCTGACCTAATGCAGGCCTGATTCAGTGTCTGATCCAGATGTTGAGACAAATTGATCCAGACTTGATTTAGACCTGGTCCCTAGTATTTTAGACCTGATCTAAACTGATCCAGACCTGTTCCCAAGTGATCCAGACTCATCTAGACCTACTCAATCTAACCTAACCTGACCCAGACAGGTCCAAGCCTGACCAAACTGGACCATCCTTTTCTGGACTTGAAAATATTTTAACCCCCTTCCACAGACCCCCAACAGACCCCCAGTTCAGAGTCTGGACTCACTTGGGTTCTTGTGGGGGTGCCACTGGAGACTGGATTTGTGGGAGGGGCATGGGAGGTTTGGGCGGAGCTCCAACATGGCACTCTCTCTTCTTTAGCACCTTGTCTTCCTCTGAAGGACTCCTGCCGGTTGAAGGACTGTCTGATGTCTCCTGTCGAAAAAACTGTCCTGTCTGTGATTGGACAGGAGACAAGGGGGTGGAGCTATCTTGTCTCTCGGCAACCAATCGAACCAGTTCCTGATGGACAAGAAAGGAGAGGGGTCAAGAACTGATCCGAGACAGCAGGAGATGGAGCAGTGGATGGAGACGGCCTGAGAGACACCTGTCCTCACCTTAGCACCGTTCAGCACAGCCCTGATCACCGTGGTAACGCTCTCCGGGGACTCCGTGTAGTCCTGGGCGACGCCCTGCAGCATCACCTGATTGGCCCAGCGGATCAGTTGAGCCACGGAGCGGTACAGACGAGTGAGACAGGCAGAGACGGTCTTACTGCAGGGAGGACAGACAGGTTGAGGACACAGACACTCTGATGATAAGAGACGGGCAGGTGGAACTCACCTGTTAAGGAAACGTGGCTCCAGCTGAACCAGACTCTGGACCGCCTCCAGGATTCCACCCGATGCCCCGCCCAGCAGACCGCCCACCACGGACTGGTCCAGGACCAGTTTGTTCTTTTCAGGTCTGTCCAGTCCCAGTCTGTCCACCAGAGCTTTGAAGTACTGCAGAGAGCTGATGACGGCACGCTGCTGGTCTGCTAACACACCCACCGGCTTAACAAACACACACACACACACACACACACACACACACACACACACACACACACACACA